AACTTTTGACCTTTTGTAGAGCTTTTAGAGATTGTCAGAGTCCAAAGAGTCTTTCTAGGTAACTAAGGAATTTAAGCTTTAATACTCTAGTGAAGTGTAGGTGGCGACTTTCACGGCGGAGAATATACTGAAGGTTGTTGTCACAAAACTGGCATAGATCAAGATGAGGAGGATCAATACTATATTTTACTTGTATGTGCTTCTTATGACACGAGTGGCATGTTGAAAAATTACCAAAGATTTATCACAGAAGTGAATAGACTTATGTTCCTAACATTGATTGCTATAAATAACATATATATCAAACCAATGATTTGTTTACTAATACGAGGAAAGTAGTTGCTAAGGAAATGTATATATATGGCCACTACCGTACGACGGATCCAGGACAAAATCCCCCCGGACAAATCCCCCCCTCCTCCCTTAAAATACGAAACTAACACCAAAAAACCCCAAAAGGAAACAAAGAAACACCGTGGACATTAACACACACACACACACACACACACACACACACACACCCCATCCTTAACATTTAAACGGACAAAATCCCCCCTATGTGGCTAGAGAAAAGACGCTTCCAGATTTCTTGCATGGCATTGGCCGCTTTATGCGAACTGATGTTTGAACTGATGCTTGATGAAATGATGTGTTATGATCCAATAGCATAAATGACAATGAATAAATGTGTGCTCATTGGCATTGTATAAATATGTCAAATAAAAATAAATGTGCAATGAATGATGTGCAAAATGTGCTCAAAATATATGCTATGTGCTCTTTGACCTTGTTGAATGTTGAAATATTGACAAATAAATAAATGGATAATCTTAAACTCTTGACTGATTTTCCTTGGGGGGATTTCGTGCAGGGGAGAATTTGTCCGGGGGATTTTGTCCTATGATGCACTTTGTGTGTGTGTGTGTGTGTGTGTGGGGGATTTTCTGTACGACGGCGGTATGAGTGGAATGAGATTGATTGTGGCATGTGTCCGAGTAGTAGATTACTGTGTGCAAGCGAAGTGTTTTTAACATATTTTGTTTTGGTAAAGGGGAACACATCCACATCCGCATAGTTCAGTATGCAGTGCAGGTAGGGGACTTCCTCCAACTGACAACATGAATACATGAACCTATTTGGTATTTCTCACGCCAGGAATTCAATAGCCCATATAGTGTGCACAACGCACCAGCTGCACTTGCTCGTGACGAGACAGATGGACATGGATACTCGACTCCTTGTTAGCTGTCTGTAGCACCATTGACAAGGTGTCTGGTCAGTCCTGCTGAGCTGACCAATGTGCCAGACAATACTCTCACCTTTATGAAAAGCGAGGGTTCGAGATGTCTACTTGACAATGACATGGTTTTGACAGCTATGAAATTGCACGACGATAGTTTGACATTTGGCAAATTTTGTTTACATGTTTCATTACAAACGGCACTGATCAAGCACTGATCGTTTTGTCATTTATTTTGTATTAGCGACTTGCAAAAAGATGAAGCTGAAAATGCAAAATGCCAGTATTGGAATGTGAATAGCACACAGATAATCCTTCAAATGAGCATCCACTACCACTCATAAGCCTGGCTACCTTCGCACAGCCGCCCAACCCTATTGCTCTTATTCTTGTATGCAATCCTGTTTCCAAATCCTCAAAACACCATTGTCGTTACACTTCACCGTCATCTTACATACCACGTTCTGCAAACACTACAAAAGAGATACTGGTGTATGAAGGTGATGGGATCATGTAATGGTGGGTGAGCAGAGGGTTGAGGCTGGATATATTGATGTATGGAGGTGATAGGATCATGTAATGGTGGGTGAGCAGGGGGTTGAGGCTGGAGATATTGATGTAGGAAGGTGATGGGATCATGTAATGGTGAGTGAGAAGAGGGTTGAGGCTGGAGATATTGATGTAGGAAGGTGATGGGATCATGTAATGGTGAGTGAGCAGAGGGTTGAGGCTGGAGATATTGATGTATGGAGGTGGTGGGATCATGTAATGGTTAGTGAGCAGGGAGTTGAGGCTGGAGATATTGATGTATGGAGGTGATAGGATCATGTAATGGTGAATGAACAGAAGGTTGAGGCTGGAGATATTGGAGTATGGAGGTGATGTGATCATGTAAAGATGTGTGAGCAGAGTGTTAAGGATGGAGATATTGATGTATGGAGGTGGTGGGATCATGTAATGTTGAGTGAGCAGGGGGTTGAGGAAGGAGATATTGATGTATGGTGAGGTGGTGGGATAATGTAATGGTGAGTGAGCAGAGGGTTCAGGCTGGAGATATTGATGTATGAAAGTGATGGGATCATGTAATGGTGAGTGAGCAGAGGGTTGAGGCTGGAAATATTGATGCAGGAAGGTGATGGGATCATGTAATGGTGAGTGAACAGGGGGTTTGGACTGGAGATATTGATGTATGGAGGTGAGGGAATCAGGTAATGGTGAGTGAGCAGAGGGTTGAGGCATGAGATATTGATGTATGAAGGTGATGGGATCATGTAATGGTGAGTGAACAGGGGGTTGGGGCTGGAGATATTGATGTATGGAGGTGATGTGATCATGTAATGGTGAGTGAGCAGCGGGGTGAGGCTGGAGATATTGATGTAGGAAGGTGATGGGATCATATAATGGTGAGTGAGCAGGGAGTTTAGGCTGGAGATATTGATGTATGGAGGTGATAGGATCATGTAATGGTGAATGAACAGAGGGTTGAGGCTGGAGATATTGATGTATGGAGGTGATGTGGATCATGTAATGGTGAGTGAGCAGAGGGTTGAGGCTGGAGATATTGATGTATGGAGGTAATGGTGGGATCATGTAATGGTGAGTGAGGAGAGCAGAAGGTTGAGGCTGGAGATATTGATGTATGAAAGGTGATGGGATCATGTAATGGTGAGTGAGCAGAGGTTGAGGCTGGAGATATTGATGTATGGAGGTGATGGGATCATGTAATGGTGAGTGAGCAGAGGTTGAGGCTGGAGATATTGATGTATGGAGGTGATGGGATCATGTAATGGTGAGTGAGCAGAGGGTTGAGGCTGGAGATATTGATGTATGGAAGGTGATGGGATCATGTAATGGTGAGTGAGCAGAGGAGTTGAGGCTGGAGATATTGATGTATGAAGGTGATGGGATCATGTAATGGTGAGTGAGCAAGGAGTTGAGGCTGGAGATATTGATGTAGGAAGGTGATGGGATCATTTATTTGTGAGTGAGCATGGGACTGAGGCTGGAGATATTGATGTATGAAGGTGATGGAATCATGTAATGGTGAGTGAGTTGGGAGTTGAGGCTGGAGATATTGATGTATGAAGGTGATGGGATCATGTAATGGTGAGTGAGCAGAGGGTTGAGGCTGGAGATATTGATGTATGAAGGTGATGGGATCATGAAATGGTGAGTGAGCAAGGGGCTGAGCCTGGAGATATTGATGTATGAAGGTGATAGGATCATGTAATGGTGAGTGAGCAGAGGGTTGAGGCTGAAAAAACTGATGTAGGAAGGTGATGGGATCATGTAATGGTGAGTGAACAGGGGGTTGGGGCTAGAGATATTGATGTATGGAGGTGATGGGATCATGTAATGGTGAGTGAGCAGAGGGTTGAAGCTGGAGATATTGATGTATGAAGGTGATGGGATCATGTAATGGTGAGTGAGCAAGGAGTTGAGGCTGAAGATATTGATGTAGGAAAGTTATGGGATCATGTAATGGTGAGTGAACAGGGAGTTGAGGCTAGAGATATTGATGTATGAAGGTGATGGGATCAGTTAATTGTGAGTGAACAGGGGGCTGAGACTGAAGATATTGATGTATGAAGGTGATGGGATCATGTAATGGTGGGTGAGCAGAGGGTTGAGGCTGGAGATACTGACGTATGGAAATAATGGGATCATGTAATGGTGAGTGAGCCTAGGGTTGAGGCTGGAGATATTGATGTATGAAGGTGATGGGATCATGTAATGGTGAGTGAGCCTAGGGTTGGGTCTGGAGATATTGATGTATGAAGGTGATAGGATCATGTATTGGTGAGTGAGTAAGGCGTTGACTCTAGAGATACTGGTGTGTAACGGTGAAGGGCACATGTACGTTTCCACACCTTTGAACATCCTCCACACCCACATCCAACCCCCTTATCCAACCCTCTCTATGTTTCTGGACCCTTTAACATCCTCCACATCCACATCCGATCCCCTCATCATCCCGCTCTATGTATCCGGACTCTTGAACATCCTCCACACCCACATCCAACCCCATCATCATCCCTCTCTATGTATCTGGACTCTTGATCATCCTCCACACCCACATCCAACCCCATCATCATCCCTCTCTATGTATCTGGACTCTTGATCATCCTCCACACCCACATCGAACCCCATCATCATCCCTCTCTATGTATCTGGACTCTTGATCATCCTCCACATCCACATCCGATCCCCTCATCATCCCTCTCTATGTATCTGGACTCTTGAACATCCTCCACACCCACATCGAACCCCATCATCATCCCTCTCTATGTATCTGGACTCTTGATCATCCTCCACATCCTCATCCGATCCCCTCATCACCTCTCATTAAATTAGATCACCTCGCAATTTAAATCCTTTTTGATCAATCCCCTGTAGATTGAGTGAGTGAGTTTAGATTTACGCCGCACTCAGCAATATTGCAGCTATACGACGGCGGTCAAACCTCCGTAGAAAGGAGGAGCCTTATCACAACATAGTTTAATGGCACTCATGGGATAAAGAACGCTAGTAACTGTTTGTTTTTGTTTTGTTTAACGCCTCACTCAGCAACATTCAAGATTTCTTAATAATTGAGAGCATTATGAGCATCGATTTACTCAATCGTTAACGACCGCGGTGGCGTCATGTGTCAGTCATGTCAGCACGCCAGACCACCAGATCCCGTTAGTCGCTCTATCACAACGACGTGTCTTGTTAGGGAGGCAGAAAAAGGAACTCTCATAAAATTGGAAAAAATATGTTCAAGAAAATCGCATTTTATTCTGCTGTCACGCATAAGAAGTAACAAAACACCAACATACTGTATTTTCGCATTATTAGTAAGTCTCACTGAAGTTTTGTGATTTGTGTGAAGCTGGTATACACATAATGATGGCTACAGTCAGTACATGGGTACATCGAAATCTAGTCCCATATGTTTGTCGTAAGGACTATTTTAAGAACATTACAAATACATGTATCATCCCAAGTAAAATATATATTATATTATTTCAAAACAAAAACAAGTATCACAGTCACTGTACAATGTATTGCAGAAAACACTCCTGTGATAACCTCACTGCCATGTGGTCAGAAGGAGCCTCCTTCACAGACGTCCTTGTTCTATGAGGCAAAGAGACAGAACTTCATATTGCATGCTGTTATGTGATGATAGGCTTTTGCATGTGTTTTATTTGGCTTTTCATCGTCACAGTTGTTTTCAATATAGGGCATCATGTAAGTTATTGCAATAGTATTGTTCATTCCTCGTTTTCGTCTTTTTCTTTCTTGTCAGCACTCCTCTTGAACCCATGCACATTGAAGCCTCCCAATGTGTCCAGTCCTCTTTTAAAACTGTGCACATTGAAGCCACCAAGTGTATCGAAGCCTCGCTTGAATCCATCGTGGATTTGGGCACCTCCAAGTGTGTCGAAGCCTCGCTTGAATCCATCGTGGATTTGGGCACCCCCTAGAGTGTCGAAGCCTCTTTTAAATCCGTCGTGGATTTGGGCCCCTCCTAGTGTGTCAAAGCCTCTTTTGAATCCGTCGTGGATTTGGGCACCCCCGAGAGTGTCGAAGCCTCTCTTGAATCCATCGTGGATTTGGGCACCTCCTAGTGTGTCGAAGCCTCGCTTGAATCCGTCGTGAATTTGGGCACCTCCTAGAGTGTCGAAACCTCTCTTGAATCCATCGTGGATTTGGGCACCTCCAAGTGTGTCGAAACCTCTTTTGAATCCATCGTGGATTTGGGCACCTCCTAGTGTGTCGAAGCCTCTCTTGAACCCATCGTGGATCTGGGCACCTCCAAGAGTGTCAAAGCCTCGCTTGAATCCGTCGTGGATTTGGGCACCTCCAAGTGTATCAAAGCCTCGCTTGAACCCGTCGTGTATTGGGGCACCTCCTAGTGTGTCAAAGCCTCTTTTGAATCCATCGTGGATTTGGGCACCTCCTAGTGTGTCGAAGCCTCTTTTGAACCCATCGTGGATTTGGGCATCTCCTAGTGTATCAAAGCCTCGCTTGAACCCATCATGGATCTGGGCACCTCCAAGTGTATCAAAGCCTCGCTTGAACCCGTCGTGTATTTGGGCACCTCCTAGTGTGTCGAAGCCTCGCTTGAATCCATCATGGATTTGGGCACCTCCAAGAGTGTCGAAGCCTCTTTTGAACCCATCATGGATTTGGGCATCTCCAAGTGTGTCGAAGCCTCGCTTGAACCCATCGTGGATTTGGGCACCTCCTAATGTGTCGAAACCTCTCTTGAATCCATCATGGATCTGGGCACCTCCTAGTGTGTCGAAGCCTCTTTTGAACCCATCATGTATTTGGGCACCTCCTAATGTATCAAAGCCCCTCTTGAACCCGTCATGAATTTGGGCACCTCCAAGAGTATCAAAGCCCCTCTTGAACCCGTCATGAATTTGGGCACCTCCAAGAGTATCGAAGCCTCTTTTGAACCCATCGTGGATTTGGGCACCTCCAAGTGTGTCAAAACCTCTTTTTAATCCTCCATGAGATTTACCAGCATTCACTTTGTTGAGGAGTCTCTTTAATTCGCCATGGGGTTTGGAGTCATTATGGGCATCCAAGTCTCTCTTTGTCCTCCCAGCAACTCTCACTGATCGCTTCTTATATCCATGTACCTCAAATCCACCAATGGGGTCAAGATACCGTTTTGTTTGCACATCTACGTCAGCGAGTGGGTCAAAAAAGCGCTTATAACCATGGATTTGCGCTCCTCCAAGAGAGTCAAGGTATCGCTTCCCAATTTCTGTCAAGTCATCGACAAGTTCAATGTCGTCATGCCCGCTGCTACTTCGCTTGGCCATGGCGTGTCCATTTATTTCACGTTTCGTCAAATCCTGAAAAATAGATACAATCACATTTGACTACATGTGAAGATTAATGTGTAACTAAGTGCAACAAAAATCGTTTTGGTCGACAAAAGAATAGACAAGATTGTATATGATAATTATATATGTTTGACTGCCACATTGCGACAGAAAGAAAGATAACATATTTTGTTCTTCCATTTATCATTACGTTCATCATTTGAATGCATCAACAAAGTCATTACGGCTCAGATACCTATCTAAGGTATATTCAAATGTATTGGTGTGCTACGATCACTTTGCTGTGCACGTTGAGCCAATAGTAATTGGACGCGTATCTTTCATACTGTCTTCCATGCTCACAAAGTGCTTGTCACGTGCAAAACCCTGTGCTATATGCGGGGAGAAACGCAGTCACTTGCTCAAGCGGCTGCCGTGATAATCTGCCAGTCACCCTGCTTCTAAGTATGACACACACGGGCATGTCCCTCAGTAATACTTATTACCGCGTCCCAGGCCCAGTAGTATCAAATTGGAGACAAGGCTGCACAGTGTCGATATAATTCAATCAGAAGCGTCTGAGGCCAAGGCATTATGTATAAGTTAATGCTCAAGCGGGGATTGAAATATACCTCATAGGCGTATTCTAAGAAAGCATGAAACCTTTCCAGCTGAAGTTCGCCATCGTATAAATGCTAACGACATTAGTATCATTAAACAGTCATTACAGCCGCAATGGATACATTGGATGAAGTGGTGGATGTTCGGTGAAGTTAGCATTTGCCACACTCTCAGAAACGCGTTGATGGTTGATGAGTAAACAGTCGCATATAGTGTTTGAACAGATTTCACTCTAAGTCCAAAAACACATTCTGTAAAACTGAATGATATATTGCAAGCATGATCTTTGACGTACGGTTCGTTATTGAAAGAGTGAGTGGGTGAGTTGAATTTTACGCCGCTTTTAGCAATATTCCAGCAATATCACAGAGAGAAAAACCAGAAAGGGTTTTCACACATTCTACCCATGTGGGGAATCGAACCCGGACCTTCGGCCTGACGAGCGATCGCTTTAGCCACTTGGCTACCCCACCGCCCCTGATAGAAAGATGACTTGCCAGGATCTTAACATAGAACACACATTGATCAGAACACGATCAGATGTGAATCTCATCAAAGGTAATGCACCCCGCGAGCTTATTCTGAGGACAATTTATATCTCCATTCACAAGACATATTTCTATTAAAGACATATTAATTTGAGTCGTGGGACAGTCTTTTGCTAGCGCTAAATGTAAGCCCTTTTGGTATAGAAAAAATGCATCAGCAAAGAACATCAGACAGGAAATAAAAGTTCATTGATGAACAAAATATCTCTTTGATTTAATATTTGTCCTGAAGGGCATAAACTTCAATCTGTTGTTTAGTCCATATGCCCTGTGGGTGTACTAACTGGTGGGGAGGTTCTGTGCATGGTTTACTGGACGAACAAATCCCCTTGCTGCTACAGACAACGCTAAGTGCGGCACAGAGTTCGCGGTCCTCCAGTGAGTCGGAGCAGACACTACCAGAGACAAATTGACTTCTCACGGCACACCATTCCGACAATATATTCATTTGATTTATCGAGTAAACCAGAGATAACTATAAAAGCAGCACCCAATAATCCAGAAAATGGACCTTTATTGACTCACTCGCGACAATGATGTATTTACTTATTATTTATGTCTGTAGAGCGGCTGTGACGTGGACCATGGCTTAGATAGGGCTCTCTTTGTTTGAATGAAATTGCAGAAAACTTCATCTTTCCTCTCAGCTCGGGGATGGGCAGGTGGAATTGCTAAATAAAAGAATCCCATCGGAAAAGGCCTATTTTAACTATAAACTTTAGTGAAGGTCTGCCAGTAGCGAGGTAGGGTAATGAGTGGGCAGCAATCTATCACGCGGCCGTATGGGTAAACGTGCTAAATTTGATTGCGCCCTTTTGGAAATGCAAGCATGGAGCGCAATATCAGCGGTGGAAAACCACTAACAGTCAAGACATTCAGGAGAGCTATTAAAGTAAACATAAACTGTGGTGTTGCCATCAAACAAAGTTTTTATCTCTTACGTTTTGTCTTGATCCTTTGCTAACGCGATCCAGTGCCAATCAAAGCAATATAGTGGGGTCGTGCACATGCAGCTGATGTAACAGGGGTTTCGTTTTACCATGTTGGAATAGGCTTTACACGGGATGAGTCAAGTGTTATGATTTAGAAAGAAGTAATCCCCACTTCGTTTTGTATTGGGCAATTCCTGTTGGGGGGACATAAGACGAAACATATAATAAATCGTGGAAGTTATGTTATGGGAGAACCTAGTATACCACATTTGCTGGAAAACGTTTGCATGCAAGAGCTGTAGAACTACGTCCTACTTAAACAAACAAGGCCTTTTGACAAGGTCTCTCATTTGGTTCCAATTGCGCATCCCTTCTCGTGACGCTTACTCATTGATGAATGCAAGTCTTTGGTGGTGATGCATCTTATATAAGGGGTGAATGTCCGCCACTAATGGTCTCGTACTTCTGATGGAATGCACATCCTTGTGAGTGAGGGTTGTTACCTCTTCGAGAAAGCGCGTCGGCCTTGACGAATCCTCTTAGTGGAGAATGCATGACAAACAAGTTAACAGTAGTCACCCCGATGTGATACAATAGATGTGTGTAGAATCAAAATATCAACTGAACTATAAAACAAATACTAAAACTAGAGCGAGATCCTAACTTTATACACAGCAGTGATGACGCCAAAAAATATCTAAAATACTAGTTGTAGACCCAGACGAAACATAGCTTAACAATTTCTTTTTTAAATAAACGCGCAGCTTCTGTTGTAAGACAGGTGAGTTAGGTAGTCATGAACAGAGGGTTCGAGTAGAATGAATACTCCAGTACCCGGCGGGCACACAACACATGCACGTGAATACCGGAACACCTGCATCGTTTGTTGAAAGACAGGTGATCCACAGATGTCAATGCAGAATAATGGAGGCCTTTTGTGTAAATGACAAAAATTATTCAGTATAAACAAGACGTCAAGTCAAGTCTTTCTTTGTTCTTTCGAGGCTGCCCCTCGTCCTCGCTGGCAGCGGTGAAGCAGTTGGTCATGAAGTAGGTATATATTTTACGATGCTTCACTCACTTTTGTCGCCTGCACCTGCCTATGGCAAGCTGGGGTGAACTTTCAGAGTGGTTACTGTAAGAGAGTGGCGACGGAGCCAATATTAAACCAAATTCTGGTGTAAGGTTATGCTCGTTTTACTACCGACGCTTCTCTGAGTATGCACATAGAGCGATTCCGTGGACTCACCGCATGAGACAGGCACCTGCAGAAGGCTTGTGGGAAGGCAAGTCTGTCTAAACCACTGACAATATTCGTCTGATTCACGAAGGTTTATTATTACAAATATTTATCAAAGTGTCCAGTCATGTATATCTCTTCCTGGTGGTTACTCCTGCTTTTTCCAGTGTAGCACGGGAGTAAGACAGGACTGTCAGATGTCCCCGATGCTGTTTCCTCTTTTCATCAATGATCTTGTCTAGCATATGTCTTATGAGGGACAACATGGTGTAACTTTGGCATTCTTGGAAATATTTATTCTTTTCTTTGCTGACGACATTGCAGTTATGGATATAAGTGTTGTTGGGTTGCAGAAAAGGTAAAATGTATTATCAGAATATTGTGATAAATGGATATTAGCAATCAATATTGCTAAAGGTAAAATTGTGGTCTTCCGTAACATCGGTAAATTACGCTCATGTGAAAAGTTTTGGTTGAGTGGCTCCAAAATGGAAGTGGTTGGATGTTATAAATATTTAGGTGTCCAGTTGTCATCGTCAGGGTCTTGGTCTTTAACCCAGAAAACTCTGACCCAACAGGCTTGGGAGGTTTTGCAGTTGCTAATGTCAAAATTAGGTAAATTCTCTCTTCTTCCACATGATGTTGCCGAGCATATTTTCGACACTAAAGTTCTTCCTATTCTTACTTACGGCCCCGAAGTTTGGGGATTTCACTCATCGCCTGATATTGAAGGTATTCATGATAGATTTTGTAAATTAATGTTATCGTTAAATAGAGGTACTCCAATGTTGTCAACTCGTGGTATTTTAGGTAGGCCTAATGTTAAAGTTTTTCAGGATGTCAAAATAATCAAGTTTTGGTTAAGGATACTGTCGCAAACCGACAATGTGATTTTGAAGCACTCCTATAATATTCAATATCGAAAGGCTGAAAATGGCAAGTCTTGTTGGGCATTGAACGTTAAATCATTGTTGCTCAGTTATGGTTACTCAGTTATGGTGTAGGAAATAGTGTTGTATTTATCTCTCAGTTTAAGGAAAGTTGTACTGATATTAAGCAGCAATGCTGGAGTGCACATTTAGAGGGTTTCGCGAAGTTGGATTTCTACAGCACTTTGACTGAGTCGTCTCGTATGTTAGTGGCCATGTTAGAGCTAACATAACGGGGACACAACTAGTGTTGACTGACTGAGTCCTCGTATGTTAGTGGCCATGTTAGAGCTAACATAACGGGGACACAACTAGTGTTGACTGAGTCGTCGTATGTTAGTGGCCATGTTAGAGCTAACATAACGGGGACACAACTAGTGTTGACTGAGTCGTCGTATGTTAGTGGCCATGTTAGAGCTAACATAACGGGGACACAACTAGTGTTGACTGAGTCGTCGTATGTTAGTGGCCATGTTAGAGCTAACATAACGGGGACACAACTAGTGTTGACTGAGTCGTCGTATGTTAGTGGCCATGTTAGAGCTAACATAACGGGGACACAACTAGTGTTGACTGAGTCGTCGTATGTTAGTGGCCATGTTAGAGCTAACATAACGGGGACACAACTAGTGTTGACTGAGTCGTCGTATGTTAGTGGCCATGTTAGAGCTAACATAACGGGGACACAACTAGTGTTGACTGAGTCGTCGTATGTTTAGTGGCCATGTTAGAGCTAACATAACGGGGACACAACTAGTGT